CTGTTTTTGTAGGTACATTGATATCATTGCATTGATTTCCTTTTATGATGTCATTTGATGAAACATCGTCTCCACAACCAGATAATTTAGCTCTGTGGATTGTCTTTGAGTTTTCTATAGTGCATTGGTTATCAGTGTCCTTTACAGAAGCTGTATACAAATTTATCTTTCTACGAGTCCTGTTTAATGAAATTGAAGTATAGTTTGTGTTCTTTGTTTTTTTCTCTTTTTCAGATCTAGTAGTTTCTATGTTTTTTCCTTCACTTGTTTGAGGTTGATTTTTTGAAACACCAGACTGCAGAATATTTATAGGTTTTTTTTCACGAGAACTTTTCCTTCTTTCTTCTTTTCTCTTCTTTGAGACTTCAATTTGTACTTCTTTTCTTGTAGATATCGCTTCATCTAAAACTTTTGAGCTGCTTGAAGTTGAAGGTTTATCGATTTCATTGGATTCATCTATTTCATTGGATTCTAATGTGTTTGTAAGAAGAGTGGTATTCAAGCCATCTTTTTGGGACATTTTCTCATCAAAATGATCTTGGTGTGGAAAGTATGTTAAATATTGTTCTCGCTCAAAATTGTAGAGTAAAAGAGTAGATAAAAAGAAATTAAAATATGTATTCAATCCCTCCATAACTTCGCCTATAATTTTTAAACTAAATTAAAAAAAAAATCATCAACTGCAGCAGGGAGAAAAAGTTGATTTAAAAAATAACAAATAAAAAGTTTTTCATTTTTAAAAAATAATAAAAAAGCTTTACCTTAAATATCTTCCATCATATGTTTTTGGATTCTCCATACATTCTTTTAAATAATCATTTAAAATCTGTGTAACACAGGGCTTCCGAGGCAAGAGCACAAGCTACAAACACAGTTTGTAGTTAAAGTTGAGACAAGCAAAAGAACAAGTCACAAGTGCAAAAATAATAAATAGAATAGAAGTTGAAAGCTCTAAGCTAGAGTGTTTACTTTTACAATTATAACTATAAGAACTACAAAACAATTATAAATACAAAACAAGAAGTTAAAAAGTTCACAAGTTTAAAGTAAAGTTTTACTATAATAAAAATGATGAAACCTTTTTTTTCCGTTGAATACGATAACAATCATCTTCTAGGTGAGTTGCAAGAACTTTTGGAATATCAAGTGATACAAGCGGAATATCAAACACTTTTTCCTAGCGATACCATTGATGACAAATCAATATGACAAACAATTATAAGAGTAACTAACATTAATTATTCAACTAAAATTTTGCTCTCAATTCAAACTTTTAGCAAAAATTATGCATGTATTAAAAAAATATAATTACTTCTTTTTTCACTTTTTCTTCGTCTTCGCTGCTTTTATCATCTTCACTTTTCTTAGGTTTGCGTTTTCTAAGTCTTGAAATTAAAAATTTAGTCTATATTTTAAATTTTTTCTTGAATTTTAAAATTGAAAAGTTTAAAACTTTTAAAAAGCTAAATTTATTCTTGATTTTAATATCATTTTTTGAAAATAAAACAAAATAAATGTTTGTGCATGTGTGTATGTATGTGAGCACACACGCACATATAATAACAAAAAATATAAGACAATTTTTTTTTAACTATTCATTTTTAAGAAACAGTTTTTATAAAACTTTACAATGGTAATTAAAAAACATTTGAAATTGCCATTTATGAAAAAAAATAAAAATAATAAATGAAATAAAATACGACAATAAAGGCATTAAAAATGATTAAATTATTAAATAAAACAAATGGTTTATTATTTAGTTAGTTAAGTAAGATATAAAGCCACAGCCTTGTTAAACCTATAATCAGCTGAGTAATTGCATCTATACCCAATTTGTATGTCAGCCATTTTTAAACTTGCATGTCAGCCACTTTTGTGCAGCTCTAGTAAAACAAACTGTAGTTGTTTAAATTTATCAACTGTTACCTCAAAAATACTATCTGGCAAAGCATTTCATTTATTGACTACACGGTTGTTGAAAAACTTATGCCTGACTTCGCAGTTCTTGACAATCTTATGATTATATTACAGTTTAATGTTCAGTTCTGGGTGCTATGCTGCAAGGCCATACCTGCCAGTCAATCAAATTTAAATAATTTAAACAACTTAAATTAATTTCATGATTTTGTTCTTCAAGTTTTGTAGTCTTAATTTTTCAAAAACTGAGGACTCTTCGTGGTACCTTTTCAGTTTTTTTTAGCCACCAACAAGGTAAAGGTTCCAAGCTGGTATAGAAATTCAAGATGTGGTCTAATAAATGCAAAACAAAGTTTATTCCAAATATCAGCATCTCTTGATTCAAATGCATGTTTAAGAATTCCTAGCATGTTATTTGTTTAGTTGGCTGCTATGTTGCACTGATGAACATATTAAAGATTCTCAGAGATTAGAATTCCAAGATCTCATATGGAATTTGTCAACTTTTTCTGTTTCTACCCAGAAGCAGCCTTGTTTATCAAGGTTTGTGTTTCGAAGTTATAGAGTTGAGTGAGGGTTATAATCACAACTAAAGCAGCCTTCTCGACTGCAGTGGTTTATTCAGCCATGGGGAGGTGAATTAAAAAAAAAAATTTGTGACTTTTAAAACTACTCTGTTGGTTGTGCTTTAGTTCTTGGTTTCACCCATAAAGTATTCAAATTTTATTGTTCCAGAGTTAATATTTAACTTCATTAGCCATGTTTGCGTCCATTTCACCATCTTAAAAAACAAACAGACTAATGTTATTATTGCCCATAGACTTGATTCCACCAAGTGTTTATAGGTGTTGGAAACAATATCTATTGTTATATTCAAAATTAAAGCCTTTGGTTTAAAAATACAAAAGGTTTTATTATCTGAATCAATGGTTCTTTTTAAAAAACAATTGAAACTGGTTGTTGAGAATGTTTGCTTTTGTTACTCTATTTCTACTCATTTGATTTGAATCTGAGGTTCCGATATTTGATTGCTCAGTTTCCATTTTTTTTACTGTTAATATATGCTAAGAGTTGTTTTGGATGGTGCATGTTGTTAGCTAGTTTTGATTCATAGTCATATAATACTCACATAGTTCATTTTGATTCGCAATGACTCAAAGTCATGAGGAATCAAAATGCTTATTTGCTTCTTTTTAAATCTCATTTTTAGTCCTTTATGTGCAGGACATTATACTCTTTTATGTGCTCCTGCACATAAAAGAGTATAATGCTGTCTTTAATCTGTATTAAAGACAGCAAGTAAGTACATGGTTTCTCTCCTAAAACTTGATTTCTTCTTTTTTTTTAAACAAAAGCATTGAACTTTAAAAATTTTAAAAATTAATATTATGTTATGTAACTTAGATATGTTAAACCAAGTACAAGTTTTTTTTAATGTTTTTAAAAATTCATGAGTTAAGAAAAAGGGGTTGATATTGTAATAAAAAACACATAGATCTGTAGAGGAAGGATGGGAAAGCGTTGAAAATGTATACAAGTGCATAAAAGGGAGGAGGGTCCTAAATCAGTGATTTTATTGCATACTTATTTTATGGATGTCCCCTAGGTGTCATCTCATCCAGTCAGATTTTGTTAGCAACTTAGAAAAAAGCTGCTGTTGAGAAGCATTCTCAAAGCAACACCTAGTCAAGATTATTAATGAAGGTGTGGTACATGATGTAGGTAAATGATATTGAAAAGCTTCATATTGTAGAAGGCAAAATGCACAAATATAAATCTTTTGAATCAAATATTGTAACATGACATTCCAAATTACTTTCTAATTAGTGATTGTATATTTCAATATAACATTTCAAAACAAAACAAAAATATTTTCATTCTATGGAAATATTTTTGTTTTGTTTCAAAATTGAATTGCGGACAGGTAATTTATCTAATATGAACCAAATTGAAAAGCTATGAATGATTGTCAAACAAAACTTCAGAAAAAACAATTTACCAAAACTACTCTGATTGAGTAAACAATTTGTAATTGTAGGCTACTACGAGAACTTTGTAATTGTAGGCTACTACGAGAACTTTGTAATTGTAGGCTACTACGAGAACTTTGTAATTGTAGGCTACTACGAGAACTTTGTAATTGTAGGCTACTACGAGAACTTTGTAATTGTAGGCTACTACGAGAACTTTGTAATTGTAGGCTACTACGAGAACTTTGTAATTGTAGGCTACTACGAGAACTTTGTAATTGTAGGCTACTACGAGAACTTTGTAATTGTAGGCTACTACGAGAACTTGGCTCCTATTTAATATAGTATTACAAAACAAAAATAAATATATTTAGTTTGGCTAGAAAATAATAAATAAAAAGAATACAGAAATATATTTCTTTAAATGTGTTTAAAAATATAGAAAAACAACAACAACAACAACAACAACAACAACAACAACAACAAAAAAACATAAAACAAAAATAGTTACAACATTTTTATTAAAGTATTTATTATTTAACATTTAAAACAAATTAGATAATTAATATAAGTTAGATATTTAATAAAAAATTTAAATTACTTTTATTATTTATTTTTTCAATACTCTTTTTCAATGACACAGTTAAATATTTAGTAAATAAAATCAATCAATAAATTTTGTTTGCTGTTCCAGGAGTAAATTAACCTAGTACCCAAATTTGAAAATCTTAGTACCAAAATTTGAAAATCTGGTCAAATGAATGAAGTAGCATTTTTTTGCATTGTTTAAGAAAGGTGAGAAGCTGTTAGCATCAAACTAAAGACCAGTTTCCAACAGATGAAAACACAAGAAAAGTAGAAAATGTTCAATGTGGAAACAACAGATAACATCCTCGTCAAACGCAAATTTAATTTTGAGTTAAATAAAAAAAACTTTTGCACATCAAAACAAATCCATTTTAAAGCTACTATACAAAGTAATTGTGCGACCGCATATTGAATTCGCTGCACCAGTTTAGTCTTCAAATATTAAATGAAATATAAATATTCTAGAAAAAGTGAAAAGACGAACAACTAAAATACCTCCTAATCTAAAAAACTTTACATATGAAAATTGTCTTCCTTAACTTAATTTAACAACTCTGGAGAAGAGCAGACAAAGAGGAGATATGACACAAGTGTTTAAATATTTAAAGGAACAGATAAAGTTGAGCTTATCAATTCATTGTTGTTTAAAAATTTAAATACCAGAGGTGACAGGTTTAGATATGACAGAGATTATTAATAGGGGAGTTTGACACAAATACTTCTTAACAAATAGAATTGCACCATTATGGTGTAATTCTATTTGTTAAGAAGATTTATAGTCAGAATAAGTTTTTAATACAAAATCTTTGAATGAATTCAAAAGCATTTATGGTTTGAACGAATTAAATGGTATTAAAGAAAACTTTAATTAAAATATAAAAAAAAGCTGTCAAAGTGTTCACACTTGCTGGTATTTCCATCAGCTACAGGATTAAATAATAATAATAATCTCTAAATATGAATACTGTAAAAATTCAATGTTCAATGTCGTTTCGCTTTCGTTTTTAAAGCAGTTTTAATTAGTTACTAGGCTTATCTGAACTTGAAACAGCGCGTTCTCAAAATGCACATGGTTATTAGAGGAAGATCTTTCAACCGAGTTAAAACTTTTTACCTTTAGAATTGAATTAATATTAAGATTAGTTTAGAAATATTACATAAAGAATCATATTAAGATAAATAATCATCGTTAAGATCATATTATAATAATCATTTTTAAGATCATATAAGCATTGAAAATAGTTTCGCAATTTATATATAATATTTTTTATTAAAAATAAAATAAAAAGGATCACTCCTTTTAATTTTTTAAATCGTTTACATTTTGTTTGTTTTAGTTTTTCTTTTGGCTTTATTTTTTTCTAGCAGTTTTTATTGAGCATATCTTCTATTTTTTAGAAGGAAGATAGAGGTAAGGATGAGGTCTAATTATTTTTTTATGCAACAAAAAAGTTATACTAATGCAACAAAAAAGTTATACTAATTTCAATAAAATTGGTTATTACTACCATGAAATTTCTGTGATGCTATTAACTGTTTTTGCTCTTTTTTAGAAAATTTAGAAAAATAATTTGAAATTTCGTGCCACTACTGACATGTCACATGTTATTGTATGCAAAGATTAAATTTTTGTTATGAGAATTACAGTTCTTATGAAAGAAAAAGGTAAAGAGTATTGTTTGTATATAAATATTTATATTTTGTTTACTTTAAATCTTTTAAAATTTTTTCATGCCATTTTTAAAATTTTTGTTTGCACAATTCAAGTTATATGTTTATTGTTTGCATTGCTTTTTTGATAATTATGTGTATATTGTAAAATGTGCTTTATAGCTTTTTTATAAATGTTTTTTATAATAATGTAACATGTTTTTTTATTGTTTGTGTATGTGTTAATATAAGTTATATAATTGTTTTATAAAAGTGTATAAATATGTTTATATATGTTTTCAAAGTGCTGTGAATTGGTAAACGTGTTAAGCAAGATTTGTCAACCTTGCCAGCCAAGTCACTTACTGCAAAGGGTTACAAAGCAGTGTTTCGTTTCAAACTGTTACTGCTTTAGGTCTAGGTGTTTGCAAGCCTTTATTAATAATTACTCTGAAAATACATAATGTATTTTAATAACATTTTGCGTAATGTTGTTACTGATGTTCTGTTATATATGAATGTTATGTTTCTTAAGTTATGTTATATGCATATTATATGAACTTATGGTGAATGCTATTGTTGTTGTGATGTTGCTTTTTTGTAATCTTTTGAGTTGATATACATTTGGTTTACCTTCAAGTTGTTGTCTACTGTTAAAAATGATACATAGTTAATTTCATTATCAGACCTCACTGCATTTAATCATTCACTAAAAGCCTACTACTTCTACTCTGGTAAGTCACATCAGCTTTATCAGGTACAATGATTTCATTTTTTTGTATGTAATTTTTTTCTTATTTACTTATTTGTTACATTTTTTATTTATCAAATGATGTATTTATGTGGTATAGAAGAACAAAATATTGTTAAGTTTAGTGAATTTTTTAAAAAATTTTACTAATATTTTTTTCAAATAAATAATATTGAAGTTTGCTTAAAAGGGTTTTACTACGTTTTTTTTTTTTCAATTTATCTATATTAGGAGTTTTCATTTTATTATTTTTAATGCATCTATTTTTTATTATATTATTATTTTTTCTTTAGATCTAAATTGGAGCAGCTACAGACTATATTGCTCCCAGCACCCAGGACCACTCTGAGAGGTCCTTTAACAAATGTTGCAGTAATAATGGTATGGAATAGCCCTCTTTCAAATGGAGGGCTCATCCATACAGGGGTGCTGGGAGGCACCAAGTAAAAAATAGCAACAAAAAAATTTTTAATATATTCAATCAGTGAAGATATTAACTTTTTTAATATTAATTTTTTTGTTGCTGTTTTTTCCTTGGTTTTTATTTTCATTAAAAAAATATATATATTCTAAATTGTTTGTTTTTATTTTTTTAGTATTTGTTTAGATTATTATTTATAGTTTTTATTACTTTAATTTTTGATTCACAATATTACATGGCTATTATATTGCTTCGAATATATACCATATCAGTTAATCATTTTTGAAAAAATGTACTGCAGCAATTTATTAATTATAACAAAAATCACATTTAAATTTGTAATATTTTTAAGTTATAATTTTAAACTAATTAGTTGATTTCCAGCAGATTTTATTTCTTTTGATTGTTTTGAATTTAATAATTTAGTGTTAATAGCTTTTAACTTATGTTAAGCTTTAATAAATTTAATCTTATGATTTTAATGTGTAATAAATAATATAAAGTATTTACAAATACTTTACTTTTTATTTTTTGTCTTCTTTTTTTTGTATTAACAGTACCCTTTATCATTAAATTTCTTATTATTATTATTTTTTTATTACTATTGGTTAACTGTTTTATTTACATTATATTTATAAGTTTATTTTTTGTTTAAACATCTTTTAACGGATATATTTAAAAAAATGTTTTTATAAAAAACTCACAATATTGTTGTATAATTTGGTTTATTTTAAATGAAAATTTCCTATGTAATGTTTTAAAAATTATTCTTTGTGTGTGTGCAATTTAGAGAAGTAAAAAAAAAAATCACAATTTTTAAGATTCTTTTAAGATTTTTTGTTACTACTATCAATTAAAAGTGAAGTTTAAATGGATGATATAAGGCTAGAAGTGGCTATTAGTTTAGAAAATGATGGAAATGTTATTAAGCAAGTTGAAAATAATCGTCGCAGAAATGCAAGAAATGGGCTGAGGCGAGATGAAATTAATAATCAACACAATGCTAGATATGCTGCATGGCAAGCCACGAATAATTTAAATCAAAATGAGGACAGTGTGATTAGGCAAGTTGAAAATAGTCGTCACAGAAATGCAAGAAATAGGCTGAGGCAGGATGAAATTAATAATCAACCAAATGCTAGATATCCTGCTAGGCAAGCAGCATATACTTTGAACTGAAATAGGGAGAAAAAAGGGCAAGATAGATGTCACTATAATCTCCGTTCACATAATGAAGTTGCATTTTTTGGTGAAGATAGTGCTCCACCTACTTCCAGTGAAGTTGTTATTTTCCCAAGAGGTCATCCTCTTAAAATATATCAAGTATGTCTGCCAAATTAGAGCCTATGGTTTGTTCTTTATTTTTTCTAAGGGGTGATGCTGGTTGGCATAATCAATTGGTTTACAACCCTGAACGTGCTACATTGATTAGAAATCACGTTACATTATCTCAGTATTATAGTTATAGACTTTTAGTTGGACAATTAACCTAAACAAAAAAAATAGGTAAAGTGATTTTTAGTAACTTCAGATCACTTTGTTGTTATTTTTTTATTACTATTAGAAGGGTTAATAATAAAAGTTTTTAGGCAGTAGAACTGGTACTGATTTTAGTAAGTTTGCTATATTTTTTTACTTAATATTTTCATTAGATTTAATAGGTTTTTTTTTATTACTTTGGAGTAAAATATATTGAGTGATATTACTTCATTTTTTACACTTTTAGATTATGTATTGTTGTCTAGATTCTTTGTTAAATTACAATTTAATGATATAAATAAATTTTTATTTTTATTTTTGATAGACAACTTTTATCGAAAAATAAAAATTTAAGGAGGCGTGAACTTCCTATTAAATGCTTATCCACGGTGCTCTGTGATAAGACCTTGAGGACTTCTTGGAGCACCTAAAATAAAATTAAAAAAAAAGTTGTTGAAATATAAGAAATGCTGCTCGGCGAGCAGAAAACTTACTTGCCAGAATTCAATGTCAAGCGGTGTTAATGTGTGTTTATTTGATTTTATTTTAAACACTTTAAAACACTTTAAATCAAATAGTTTTAAATTTAAATGATTTTAAATTTTTTTATAAATTCAAACATAATTATGTTCTTTTTTTTTAGTTGCCTTTGTTATCTCTTGATTAGTTTGCTTACTGTTGAAACATGGTTTTAATTTTGTAAATTTAATGATATGAAATTTACTCTATTAATCATTAGTTGACAGTTAAAAAGAAGCTGGAGCTTTACATAATAAAGGTAAAAATAATTTTGTTTACTCTTAGATAAGAGTTGAAAGAGAGTTAGTGCATGGAGCATCAATAAAACTTATATAATTACTTTATTAGTTTAAAAAAAAGTAATTATATAAGTTTTATTAATGCCACAATTGATAATGACCATTTGTATAAAAAATTTTATGAGCTGCTTGGTGTTTTATGATAAAATTGTTCAATATTGTAATAAATAAAATCTTTTTAGCTCAAGTATTTTAGTTGATAAAATATCTTAAGTTGTAGTGTTATACGTTATTACGTTATTTACTACGTTAAGTTGTCTAGCCTTTATATAATCTTTTCTTTTTTAATCATTTTGGAGAGACATAGTAATGTGTGCTTACAAATATCTTATGTTATGCGCTATTGTTAATGTGTTTTGTGTTGATAGAACTGGGCTATTACGGCAATTTTTTTAAGTCGTTATATCTTCATTCTATCAACAATAAAATGCAAATAATACTTTGTAATTATTTTTCGTTCCTTTTTTTAGGAATTGGAAGGCTTTACTTGACTTTCTTTTTATGGTACCTGGTGTGTTGTAACAGATCTTAAAAAGAACTTTACGGATGTTAACGTAGTCTTTTGTTGGTAACCGTAAGCAATTATTTAATTACTAATAACCCGTATTACGGGTTGCTTACTGCTAGTAATAATAATAATAATATAACAACTTGTAAAATGTTTAAAAAAAAATTTAAAACATATTTGATATTAGTTTAAATAAAATATATTAAAAATTATACTTAAAAACAAACTAACTGCACTGCTTTCTTGAAGAGTTGACTTTGTAACTCACGACTGTTCTCATTGATTGTCAAAATTTGATCTTCTAGAACCCATCTGTCCCAACTATTGGCATTATGAATACATCATCATACATATAATTAAAATTATTACACAAACAATTTTAAAAAAATTTAGACTTTAAAAATTCAATTTAATTAAATTCATTAAAAAAAAAAAAACTGCAATATATATATATATATATATATATATATATATATATATATATATATATATATATATATATATATATATATATATATATATATCCTTATAGTGTAGTCAAAAGAGCGTTTTAATGTAAAAAAAGTTTTCAAGTTTTTAAACTTTTTCTGGTCTGGTTTATTAACGCGCTCTTTAAAACTACAGTTTATGGGAAACTCTTTTTAACTACCATGCAAGAGTATATATATATATATATATATATATATATATATATATATATATATATATATATATATATATATATATATATATATATATATATATATATATATATATATATATATATATATAAGAATTGGAAAAAGAGTTACCAGGTTACCAGCACTAATATTAAAAATCTGAATAATTCTTTTTTTATTTTGATTTAAAAAACCTTACTTTAGTTTATAAGCTATAATTAAGTCTAGTTATTAAACGAAGAAATTTATCAAATCAACTTTTGATTGATTGATGATTAATAACTCTAGTTCAAAGGCTCCCATGACACAATTGAATGGTTAGGCAGACAACGTTGTTTGAATAAAATCTCAAATCAAGTTTATTCTGTCAAATCACAGAGACATAAGAATTTATGAACTAATCAGAGAACCCGAGATTAAATCTAATATTGAATCATTAAAATAAAATTTTTTCTGTAAATTTTTCAATAAATAAACATGTTTATGCTAATTGTTTTTTCAATACAAAAAAAAAAATTATTTAATGTTATTTAATGTTAAATCTTTGCTCATTTTACCAACTTATTTCAGGTTAAGTAAAATTAAAAAAATTTTTTTTTTTAAAAAACTTGATATCTTTGCAATTAGGCAATGCCTAAAAACAGAGGGAAAAAAAAGAAAAAAAAAATTATTATTATAAAGATACTACAATCTATGACACTTTTAAATTCATCATATTTAAAATCAATTTATGCTAAACGTTTTGCATATTATATTACAGGTATATATTTTCTTATTTATTTTTAAAGAATGATTTTTTTTTTTATCAATTAGAGCTGAAAAACAATTGAAAAAATTTTAATAAAAGAAACCTTTTATTCCATCCCTGAAAATGAACATAAAACTCTGAAACAAGTTTTCCTTGGTCATCTTTTGTTTGGTCAATGTCAATAATCTATATTAATAATATAAATATACTTTGAAAATTTTTAAAAAATTATAAGTTTTAAGAACAATAACTAAAATTAAAAATAATAATTAAAAAACTGATTTAAAAAACAAAATAAGACTAATAAAAATATGTACAGTTAAGGCAACATTTGCTAAACAAGTAAAATATTTATACAACACGATATGTGTACATGTTTTATTTATACAACACGATATGTGTACATGTTTTATTTATACAACAAGATATATGTACGCTAATTATTACATGTATTACAGGACAAAAACAGTTTTTCACTTTAATTCTTTTTATTTTCATTTCAACCAGGGATGCAAAGTCGGAGTCCAGAGTCTCACCCATTGTAAAAATTGTTGGTACTCTAGGACTCCCAGATTTTTTTTTAATTTTATATCAGCATATAAACGTTTCCTAAAAAACTATTATTAACTTATTGTTTAATAATTTAAAGTTGTTCAGCTTTAAACCAGTAAAAATATAATTACATTGAATTACGTAGAGTATGACAAGCCCTCTGGCATTATAAATTATTCAAAAATGTGCAGGGTAATTATGACATATATTGCCTATAGCATAAATTGCTTTTAAAAAATAGGCAAATCACAGTATATGTGGTGTACAAAACCTTTCGTGGACACTGTCACACTGATGATGGTGTATACTTGTCCCAAAAATATTCCATAGTTACTTTAAACTTATTGATCACAAAATATGGAGCAAAACATTCTATAACTACTATATTCCAAAAACTTCTTTAACATGTTCGCTGCCAAATCTGTTTTAGCAAGGCGTTATTACACTGCCAAGCCGTAAATTATGTGACATTAAACTTCTGACGAGGCTATTTTGCGTGGTTTTGTTCTCACAGCCAAGGCTAGATATCAACATTTTAAGAAAAAATATTTTTTCTATCAAGCATAATTTAAAAGCATTTTTTATTCTGAATATAAAAAAAAAAAAAAATCACTACGAGTATACTCGTACTTTGGCAATAGAGAAGATATTTTTTTCGCCAGTGCCAAAGTACGAGTATACTCATAAGCGTTTTGTAACAGCAATCGTTGCAGTGCAGAACAATGCAACGTATTTGATGCATTTAGATTTATGTTTAATGAAGAATTTTCTAGGAAAAGGATATCACTTGTATACTGACAACTATAATTCCTTTGAATTATCGAAACATATGTTAACAGAAAAAACATACATATGTGGTGATCGTAAATTGAATCCAAAAGATTGTACAACAGCTAAGTTAAAAAAGGGAGACCTTGTGAGCAGAAGCAGGGAAGGCGTAATTGTGGCTAAATGGAAAGATAGAAGAGACGTTCTAATGATTAGCAACATGCATTCATTAGAGATGGTTGAAGTGAAGAACAGAAGAGGTGTAAAGAAACTTAAACCCAATATAATTCGAGATTATAATAAAGGCATGTCACATAAGATACCATTTGATCAGTTTATCAAGCTGATCAAATGGTATCTTATTATGACTGTCTAAGAAAAACCACTAGATGGTATAAAAAAGTAGCTATTCATATTTTCGATATATTTGTATTTAATGCTTACTGTCTTAACTGCAAGTATGGAACAGATAAAGCAATCTCCTTGCTTAAATTTCGGGAAATAATTGTTACCAATTTATTAGGTGAGCACTTAAACGAAGAAACATTGGTTCCTCAAGTCAACAACAACAAACTTCATTATTTGGCTGCTATACCACCAAATGAAGTGAAGAAATTGCCCACAAAACCTTGTTGTGTTTGTTCTAAAATGAAACGTAAGGAAACACACTATCAATGCGTTGTATGTGAAAAAAAGCCTCCGTTATGTGTTGGGGAATGTTTTAAAATATACCATGTAAAATGAAAGGTTTTTAAAATATTTTTCAAGAAAAAAAACCTAAATACTAAAGATATAATACTTTTATTTATTTTAAGTTTCTTATATCTTTATCCCGATTTATATAAAACAGGTGGTTTACGAAGTACAAGTCTATAACTTAGTTATTTCTAAAATCTATTCTAAAGTTAAAAAAAAAGATGTTATATGAACTAACATAGCTAAACATTAAATTTTTATTATGTTAGTTGAACTACGAGTATACTCGTAGTTGGCCAATTTTTTACGCACGCATTCTACGAGTATACTCGTAGTTGGCCTAAAAATAGTGTTTTTTTACTACGAGTATACTCCTAGTTGGCAGCAAACATGTTAACTAAGTTCTCAATATCTAAAAGAGGACTGTGATTGTGGAACTCATTTCTCACAAATGATATTAAAACATTAAACTTGATATTTTTTGAGCTAAGAAATAAAATCAATAATAAATTATAATATTTTACATCATAATTGAAACTTCATGGAGTTTACTCAGGGTTTCAGGGACAATTTCACCTCTAAAAACTCTGGTTAATTGGTTCAATGAAAAAAAAAAAAATTGGAGCCCGAAGCCCAAAGGTTCCTATTGTTTGATCCCAGAGTCTAGAGTTTCAGATTCTTTAAAAATCAATAGGACTTCACATCCTAATTTTAAAACTAAATTTTATATAAACATAGTATTAAAATAAAATTAGTTGTTTTACACAAGACATGTTGTATATAGTGATGTGTCGGGTACCCAGTTCAGACCCAGTAATTTGGCTGTTTTCCCTGGTACCTGGAATCAGCCATTTTGTTGCAGTACCCAGCACCAGGTATCTTAAAAGAAACTTTTAATCAACATTAACCTAAAGTGCTGTAACTATTTGTTTAAGTGGTACTTTAAATTGTATCAAAATATTATCACCAGGATTGCTTTTAATTTAAACTTCAACCAATAAACTTCTTGATATAAGTCTAAGAGTGCTATAGAGTCGATAACCACAAAGCCCTTTTTACTCAAAATAGATGTGTCTCACCTAAAATATCTAAAAAAATATATTTTGAAAAATAATTAGAATATATTGCAAAAAGGAAACTGATTTGTACTAATATTTGAATAGCCTTTTAATATGTGAGCGAATTTTTTTACAAGAGAATTTTTTGAAGTTGATAGAGTTAATTTTAACTTTAAAGTTTCATGTTTTTGGATTTACGGACATCGAGTTTACATTTTAGTTTGTGAAACTTGTTTACATTTTAATTTGTGAATTTGTGACCTCGAGTGTAAATATTTAAATAAATATAGGCAAACTTAATTAGTGCAAATTAATCAACGTTATTTTGTAAAACAAATACAGCGCTTCAGAGTTCACAAGCTTTTATTCCAACTTTTTAAAATGGTGTACTTGGACTTGTTTCCAGTATTTTCTTCCCAGTATCCAGGATCAAGGACTCAGCATAAACTGGTTCTGACACATCTCTATTCGTATATACATATGAAATAACTTCATGCTAAAAAGTCTTTAGTCAAGAGAGTTTACAAAATTAAAAAAAATTAACTAAAGAAAACAAAATCATACCTTTTTAGCATGAAACAATGAACTTTTAAACCTTAGAACTACTGTGTCCTACACCATAGATCATAAAGCATAATACAGTTTTACACTTTAAACCCTACTTATCAATAATTTAACTATTATCAAACATCAAATATTTTTTGACAAATACCATTTTAACTAGTTCAATTATCTTAATTGATACCCTTAGTGAAGTTTCTCAGAACTGAAGTGGCCAATTAAGCATATTGATCAATTACTAAAAATTACTGTTTTGAATTAATTATGATAATAAATTGTTTTCGATGCATTTTGAATTTTAAAGTGTTAGATTTTAATGAGGTACCATTTTGGTAACGTCAAATTGTTTATTAATCCCACAACCACTAGCGTTTTTAAGAAATTCTATTGTTTCTCTGCAATTTTTGTCCGCATTTCGATCCCAGAAAGCTTTGCAAAAATCTATTTTTAGAACCGCAACGGTACCCTATTGACATTTTAACTTTTTTTTATTTTTTATAAATCTAATTTTTGATACCAAATTGACACTATTTACACTTTATTTAAAAAAATAAAATAAAAACTAGCATCTACATACATTTTATAAATATAATTTATAATATTTGAGAAAAAGTTAAAAAATAAATTTATTTTTAGTTTCTACAAACCTTTCCTAAACACTTGTTGAAGTTTCATTTAATAGCTTTAATACAAGAAACAAAAACAATTTACCTTGGCTTCATATAAAACTCTTGCTTTATGAGGATCTGGCTCATAACACAGTACTAAATCATTAACAGTAAATGAATCTTTATCCTTTTCGATTTTATTTAGCTCTGCCATTACCACTATTTTAGAAAATTTTTTATCAACTATATTGAATATTTATAAACTTTTGCTACTATGAAAACTTTATTGATATATGGTGATACACGCATCTTTGATTAATTTCTGTGGTGTTTTTTTTTAACTTTAACAATCTATAAGTGATGCAGACTATTTAACCAGAAAAAATATTGTAAAGTTATCACTACAACTAATGTTATATACTTATACTTTATGCTGCAAGATACTTTTTAAATGGATGACAACAACCTAGACTAAAAATATTTACAATATTAAAAATGAAAACAAAACAAAAAACACACACCAATAACTTATGACCATATTGCATAATATACAAAAAAAAAATGTTGTTCAATACAACATAACACAACAAAGCTTTAAATGATATAAACTTTAAACGACATAACACAACAAAGCTTTAAATGATATAAACTTTAAACAACATAACACAACAAAGCTTTAAATGATATAAACTTTAAACAACATAACACAACAAAGCTTTAAATGATATAAACTTTAAACAACATAACACAACAAAGCTTTAAATGATATAAACTTTAAACAACATAACACAACAAAGCTTTAAATGATATAAACTTTAAACAACATATTGAGTTGTATTTTATAACATTCATAAAAATCTTAAGAGTTATACTAACTTAAGTATAAATGATATTTTTTACAACATTAAATGTAAACAAATTGAACAGAAATGACTTCACATCCATTGGTAATTTAAAAAAATAAAACAATAAAGCAAACACTGACTTTTTATAATATATCAGAAACTTTAATCATATTCAAAAAACAAACAATAAGCAAGAAAAAACCAATTAAAATCAAATTCACAAATAAAAATTTGTTTTATAGATTTAATATATTAATAAATTATGAATAAATTTATAGTTAAAAACTATACTAATAATATATGATGTTATATAGCAAGTCAATATAGCGATACAACAACAGTCTTCAGAGGGAAAAACAATCATAAACGCATTTGTAATATAAATTATATTTCAAATCCATATTCAATACTTATTTAAGGGAAGTACCTCTCAAAATCCATATATAATACTCATTAAGGGAAGTATCTCATAAAACTAATTTAAAAAATTTTTGTTTGACAAGCAAAAATTTTTGTAGAGCAGAATGGAATTCAGAGATTTGTAATAAACTTTATGAGTGGAACAAATTCATTTTTTAAAATTATAATCATTTGACCCTAACAACCCATATAGCAACAACAGAACTATTGCCTTTTTGCTTTTGTCCAAGGCTCACCAAACTTTACAAATTAACTTATAAAGCAGATTTTATTTTGTTTATATTTAAATAATCTACTTTGGTTAAATCAAATTTTCTTGATCCATTGTGTATTTTTTTATAGCTTTATGATGCAAAGGTTTACTTGATTAAAAAAAACATTATCAAAAAAAAATAAAAAAAGAATATGCTTTAAATTTAATGTTGAGCACCAACTGTGGAAACGAGATCAAATGTTTGTAATTGCACTCATATTACTCTTTGCATGAATAGCATGAGATCATTTGTGAAGGGGTATTCAGAACAGAACAAAAAAAAAGGTTATCACAATAATGAACCTCCCATATCCTATCAGTGTAAAAATTATAACAGTTCTAGAAAAAGTAAAACTGACAGCTACAGTTGCTAAAGAGACACATTTTTGGCAGCAAAAGAAATAAAAGGTAATAGCAATAACATTGTTGATACTTTGAGAATTTCAACTTGGCAAAGCCAAGAATACAATTTATTGAATGAAGTTTTGACAACAATGTCACTGGAAAATTTTACAACATTGAACCGATGTGTAGGCTTTGTAAGGAATGTTAACTATGTGAAAATCTAAAATCTAAGAATCCAGAGAGCTAAAAAAACTGCCACAATATAATAGTTTGTATTTGCTCTACAGAAAGCATGGAAGTGTCTGGAACTAAGCATATATTTAGTAGTTAATCAAAGAACATGGATTTCACTGCTTTAAATATCATTAAGATGGTGACAGTAAAATCCATGCCATGAAATTTATTTCATTGGTAATGAGCTTAAAAAATTGTAATGTGCAAGGCACTAAAGGTTAAAGAAGGCACTGAGGTTAAAAAATTATATATGTGCAAGGCACATTCAAAAATAAGTTAAAACAGGTCTAAGAACTTTAAGAAAACATAAAAAACCATTGTGGCTGTGGAAAGTTAATTATTAAGTCTTATTGAAAAGCTTCAAAATTATTGACTAACTTAAGAATTATTATAGAATTGCAGTAATAAAAACATACTACAAAGCATGAAGAAATTAATTAATATTATACTTTTTTATGCTGCTTCATCAATAGAAAATAACTGCACACTCACCATACACAGAAAATAACTGCACATTCACCATACACAGAAAATAACTGCACACTCACCATACACAGAAAATAACTGCACACTCACCATACACAGAAAATAACTGCACACTCACCATACACAGAAAATAACTGCACACTCACCATACACAGAAAATAACTGCACACTCACCATACACAGAAAATAACTGCACACTCACCATACACAGAAAATAACTGCACACTCACCATACACAGAAAATAACTGCACACTCACCATACAACTAAAAACAAGTAATTTTAGAAAGATAAAGCAACAGACAAATCAATATATAAACCAGATGAAGAGTCAGTTATGTAAATCTTTGCATCACCAGACAAAAATATAAAAAAAAAATCCCTCAATGAAATATAGAAACAAAGTATGGCTATAATCAAGTAAATAGAAAAAATTCAATGAGGATTGTCAAAAATATTGAAAGATAAATATTAATAAATAGTTCAAATTGCAGTTTGAAGTATTAGTTTCAAGAAAATACAACGAGATGATTATAATAAATACCATCCTTTGAATAATGTAAATTGGTATGAATTCTTTTTTAAGGTATTTTTTAAATAATTTCTTGGTTACCATAGCATTGCTATGATAGCAACACCACTACTTTAATTATTTTTAATTCTGAAATATAAAATTTAGACAAATTACATATTACAAAATCAATTTCGCTGTCTGAATATGAGTTTTTGAATTTTAGAGGTACTTCCTCCTAAAATAATATTAGACCTGCTTTTTTCTTCGAAAAAATAAAAACATACAAAAATATAAATAATCCCTAAATATAAATACTCAACAATATAAGTTTTTGTTTTAAATTTAAAAACTAAACCACACTAAACAAAAAGTTAAAAAAGTTAATTTTAAAAATTGTAAATCATTTTTTTAAACCACGACTTGCAAAAAAGTCTCTCATTGGACCACAAGCTACATTAACACACATTGGACATCTCAGTAACAGCTGTTTAGAACAAGTTTCTCCAGAATATATATGCTTACGAACTAAATCTGCTAAAGCTTGAACAAAAATGCTGTTATCATTCATTGCTGCAGATCTTCTGATATTTTCTACACCTACTTCTTTAGCAAGCTCATCAGCATATTCAAGATCTAACTCATGTAAAGTTTCAATATGATCAGATGTAAATGCTATGGGTACTAACAATATATTTTTTCTTCCATTCTTTACTAAGCCTTTTATGGAGTCTTCTGTCTGTGGACCTAACCAAGGTAATGGACCAACTTTTGACTGCCAACATAGCCTGTACTGATTTCGGAATTTCAACATTTCCATAACAGATTGCACTGTTGCACTTACCTCTTGAGGGTAAGGATCTCCTCGATTAACAACACTCATTGGCAGCGAATGAGCTGAAAATAAAATAACAACATCATCCTTAACATTTGAAGGAAACTTTTCTAATTCTTGAACAATAGTTTGTGCAAATGCTTGGATTAAGCCATGATGAGTAGGCCATCTATCTATAACACTCCACTCAATACTTGATGGAACATTGAGTTTATTATAATAACGATAAATTGCGTTTAAACTACTTCCAGTTGTTGAGCAAGAGTATTGTGGATACTGCGTAAATGCAATAGCTCGCTTTATTCCATCTCTTTCCATTTCACTTAAACTATGTTCAGTTAATGGGTCTGCATACCTAAATCCAATATAAAATTTATGTGGAGCAGTTTCTGGAGACATTTTATCTAATAATTTTATAAGAGCTTGTCCCTGTATTTCAGTCCATTTTCTAATTGGTGAGCCTCCTCCTATTTTACGATATTGTTCAACAATTTTAGGTGTTCTTCTGGCTGCAAGTAAAGGAGCAAGTTGCTTTTGAGCAGGTAAAGGAATAAGGTCTTTATCATGAAACAACCTACTCAGAAATGATCCAACTTCATCAAGTGTAGATGGACCACCCATATTTAGCATCATTATTCCTGTCTGTGGAGCTTGAGAGGTAGAAGTTAAGTTAACATAAGCCAACTTTGTAGTATAAAAGTAAGGGATTGATTTAATTTTTCGAAAAAGTAGAAACATTTTCTAAAAATTGCAAACAAATATATATACAAATAAACTTTGCATAATTAGTCTTGGATAAAACATTAATGATGAAATCATATTGAAATAGGCATCCGCAGGGGCTTCAGTACATACATTGACTGAGGGTTAATGTTTGATAGTACTTGCCTGAACCCTACAGATGGCTATTTTGGAATTACATTATTCATGATGTTATATGCAAGGCTAAGTGAACAAAAATATTTGAATATATATATATATATATATATATACATATATATATATATATATATATATATATATATATATATATATATATATATATATATATATATATATATGTATATATATATATATATATATATATATATATATATATATATATATATATATATATATATATATATATATATATATATATATACAACACTCGGAATTAGGAAAAATGAAGTCGGCAATAACTATTTGATACAAAGGTCTGACCATAAAACATATAAATAAGGTCAGCAATTTTTTGCTGACCTCTAACAGTTTCAGGTCAACAGTTAGGTCAGCCGAATGCCGACCCTAATTCCGAGGGTTGTATATATATTAGAGTGTTTCACGTTGTAATAGAAAAAAATTAATGTCACAAAAAACATTCTCCTCAAGGTTGCCTGTGTTTTTCTATCACATAAGATCATGTGTACCAAAAATTAGACTAATAGAAGCAATTTTAAGTGTTGCCATGTTTTATAAGATAAATTAAACAAATATTTTATAATCTTATACATATTATTCACTATTTTGCCTAATACTATTGTTACCTCAGTAAACTATATTTTGTATAATGTTTTATTGATAACATTTCACTTTCTGTTCAATTTAGAAATTAATAATATGGCAACCACTAGATCTTCTGCTGAGGTGTGATTTGGTTGCTTTTTCACCATTTAGAAAAAAAAATAGAAGTGAAAAAAAGTTTTCTGGCAACAATTGAAGCAGTTCTTGCTATATGGGAGATAAGAAGAAAACCAATTCAAAGAATTGATAATGCGCAAAAGTTAAAAAAACTTTAGAACAATTATCTACTGCTAAAAAACACAGAAGAACAAAATTAGACAGCTGTCAAGTGAAAGAAGGAATTTTTCAGGCTGACCTTAAAGACCTTTTTGATATATCAACTCAGAATGCATCAGAAGTTAAAAAACAATGAGATTAAGTTGAAGTATGGCAGGAATTGATCAGAATTTAATAGCCAAGGAAGCATTAAAACAATTTCGAAAAACTGTTAGTCAACAATAAGTGGATAGAATTGCCATCCTTGTGACTGTATGTATGTATTGTATTTCTATTTATTAGAACAGATAATATACATGTTCTAAAGGACATGCAGGTCCAATATTGATGGACACTAACAGCGTGCCCACCCGAAAAAAAAAAAAAAAATTATGTAACAGCGTACAACATTGAATAAATAATTTATCAACGCCGACAAAACTTTTCAAAATTGATTGAGTTAATTTTCCTCTTAAAGATGTTGATATTATCGGCATTAACAACATCGAAAGGCAACTGATTCCAAATATTGACAACTCGGTAAGAGAAACTAAATTTGCGAATATCTAGTCGACAATGTTGTTTGTGCAATTTATACTTATGTCCCCAAATGTTGTTTTTGTTGTCAAAAAGAAAGAACATAGATTTATCAATTAAGACCAAGTTATGCAGAATTTTGTAGCAAATCGATAAATCATGCTTTACTCGCCTTAACTCAAGCGACTCCAAATCAAGCAACTGAAGTTGGTTATCGTAGGTTAAATTGCCTAAGTGCAGGATTTTTTTTGTGAAACGTTTTTGCACGTTCTCAACAACCTTTATTAGTTCAACATGATATGGTGACCAAAGTGGGGAGCAATATTCTAATATAGGCCTGATATATGTATTGAAGGCTTTTACTAAGATTCTAGAATCGCGAGACTTGAAGCATTTTAAAATAAGATATGCTCTAGTATTAGCTGCATGTACAATGTTTGAGATATGCTTTTTATAATTTAGTTGAGAGTCCAGAGTTACACCGAGATCTTTCGGAATAGAAGACCAAGCTAAAATATGATCTCCTAACTTATAATGAAAGTTAACAAATTTTCTCGATGAAGCAGGTGCAATTCTATGAACAAAACACTTACTGGTAAAAAAATAGGTAGTTGCCATGTTTCTGACCAAAGTACTACATTATTAAGAGCAATAGCTAAATAATGGCTATGGTCCGTATTGCAAAATGAACTGTATAACTTGATGTCATCGGCATAAAGTTTTAAATAGCAATCAAGATAGTTGACTATAGCGGTTATATCATTGATATATAGTAAAAATAATGTTGGGCCTAACAAGCTGCCCTGAGGAACTCCACTAACGATGCAAGTTGGGTTTGATAATGAAGTTCCAACCTTAACTTGTTGACTCCTATTGTTAAGAAATGCAGCAATCCAATTTTTTAAATTACCTCTTATATTAAATAAAGCTAGTTTGGCTAATAATTTAGGGTGTGATACAGAATCAAATGCCTTTTGAAAGTCGATATATACAACATCTGTTGTTAGATTATTGTCTAGTGCAGTACTCCAATCATTAACAGATTCTAAAAGATTAGTGCATGTAGAGCGTTTCTTTAGGAAACCATGGTGGTCCACCAGTCCCACTGGTGGACCACCATACCATAGTCCCACCACCAGTCCCACAGGTGGTGGGACTGGCACTTGTATGAAAGCTCTTGTGACTGGTGGTGGGACTGGCGCTTGTATGAAAGCTCTTGAAGATTGAAAATTGAATGAACATGTTCGAGGACAAGTTTTTGACACTATTTTACTACTACTTTTGACACTCCAACACTGGGTTGAACATTGGTGACTGCACAAAAGTGAAGCAAAATCTTAACATTTTCTTATATTTATTGCATGCAGGCACCATGTGTTTGATCACATGGTGCCTGCATGCTATAAATATAAGAAAGTCATGCTTTCCACAATTTTCACAATTGCATTTGAAACCTGAGGACCTTCAGAGTAGAAAATAAATTTAATGTATCTTAAAATAAAGCACAAAGCTTGTCAAATGAAAGTCATTAAGATTTGTGCAGAACATCATCAGAAGGTCATCAACAACGGCGTAGAACGAGGCAGTTATAACATCTTTAACTCAAGCATTACAAAAGATGAAAACCAAAAACAGTTGCATCAAAGTCGACCCTGATGAAGATGAATGTTGATGATGGATGATTGATTTTTGATTACCTAGTGCACAGTAGTAGTATGTACAAAAAATACTGTTTTAAATATTTTTTTAGTAATATTTTCTTTAAATAATAAACATTGACAGTCCACATAATACTAACTAAATAAAAAATAAATATAAAATATAAAATTTAATTTTTTTTTTCACCTTACAACAAAAATGTGACAAAACATGGCAAACCCTAAATATTATCTAATTTGCTTCAAATTTAGCCCAATAATTACTATTGTTTTATAGAACAAGGGTAAGCTTGAGGACAACCAAAGTTTTGAACCTAAAAATTTTATATATATATATATATATATATATATATATATATATATATATATATATATATATATATATATATATATATATATATATATATATATATATATATTCCTATAGTAAAGGCTTTAAATTTATCATTTGATATAATTATTCAGAATGTTTTTATTTTGATTTTTTTACTGTTTACATACATCGACTGGCAAATAGGTAGAACATGTGTGGAGTGCTACTACAATGACTGAAGGTTTTGGGTCAGGTAAGCAATCTATCATACAAAAAAAGAAAATTGTTATAGTTTTAAATTTAAAAAAAAAACAAAGATAACATTTTACATTTTATGGTAAAAATGAAAGACCATGCAGGAGTGCATATATATATATATATATATATATATATATATATATATATATATATATATATATATATATATATATATATATATATATATATATATATATTAACAATATTGTATTAACATATTATTTAACAATCATCAGGTAAAAAATATCTTTTATAAAATATTTTGTAAAAAATTATTGTTATATTACCAGTTCAATATTGAAAGAAAAAAAAAATAACAAAAAAAAAATGTACTAAATCTATGTAGTTAGCATAATTTAATACTTTTGGGTTTATGGACTGTTAATCTTTATGATGGTGATTAAGTAAAAACTAATTTATCTAGCCATAGGCATATCAAATGGTACATACATTAACTTAAAGTTTTGACGTGGGAAAACACATATTAGATTAAAAACATTTTTCTCAAATTTTTAATTCTATTTCCTTGTTGCTTATTATTTTTCTTTCAATTTTAGACTATGAGATAAAAAATTTGTTTTAACTATTAATTAAAAAGCTTTTTATTTTTTTCTGGCTTTAATCCTATTATTAAAATTCATAAAAAAGCTTTAATAGCTTTTTTACATATTTTATATACCTTATGTAAAAATAAAAACTTTGCAGGCTATTAGACTTTTAACTTTAATATTTAACCTTTTATTATTACCTACCGTATATAAAGTTGGTTAAAATAAATACACACACACCAGTGACGGATTCAAGGGAGGATGGGGGGTATACATCCCCCACCCACCCCACCAGAATCTGAAAGTCCTAAAATATCTTAGAAATTAAGGACCTTTTTCTTTTTTTAGGAGACGCAAATGTGGTAAAAAATACAAAAATATTTCAACATCCTCCCCCCCCATGCCACCGAAAAATTCCTGAATCTGTCACTGACTCACACACACACATGCACACATTGTTGAAAAACTATTTACAATACACAATCTTAATATTTAATAATTCCCTTATGTAGTGTCATTAATTTTGACACAAATAACACTCTGATTCTTTAAACTAAGCCTAAAGTTAAACATTATTGATTATAAGTTGGTAACCTTAGTTCTAAAAATGTGACACTGCTATACCTTTTAAAGCCAAAAAAATCAGATATTGCTTTAAATACTAAAATTGTTCCACAAAACAGTGTCATAT